CCGTAGAATACTTTATTTTCGCTTGGAATTTATTTTCGCTATTTTCGCTGAAAGGATGATTCCGTGAAAATAAAATCCAGCGAATATACTTTTTTTTCTATATTGCACATTAATCTCATCTAAAATCAGTGAAAATAAATTCCATACAAAACGCCAAAAAAGCCTTTTCAGCGAAAATAAATTCCAGCGAAAATAAAGTATTCCACAGTATGTGTGTATTGCCATATAAGTCAAAATCTTTGAAAATTTAGAAATTTTAGAAAATACAGAGATTATAAAAAACATTTACAGACTATATCCATAAAAGGAAATGTTTTATGAAGTCATTACATCACTGATAAATTAAGTGTAAAGTAGATACAAATCTATATATATTGTCTTTATATAGTAACTAAGCTTTAATAGCTTTACATGTACACAAAATGAAAAATACTTTGATAAAAATGTCAATAAGTTGGCTGATTGTTTTCAGATTTAAAGAGAATTAAACGAGGCTAAGGCCAAGAAAATTAGGAAAAAAGTTTTTTGTTTTTTTAAATCGTTCAGAATCAAATGAATATAAGAACTGAAATCCATACAAAACACTGAAAGAAGCGGAGATATTTGGAGTTGCAGTAGTGAATAGAAAACACCAGTGAAGTATTTTATTTGGCAATAAACATGGATGTATTTCACACTTAATATCTGGGTAGCTAATAATGTTCACATTCTAACAAAAGACGTGGTAACACACAACAACCAGAGAGATATTTGGACACTAAGTTGGACTTTTAGTCACACTCATGATCATTGCATCAGTGAAGGGTCTATCTTAATATTCAATGGAGGATTTTTATATTGTGGTATGTAATGGGATATGCATATTTGAATACAGTCAGGAATTATTTCTTATGTATCCTGTATCATGCATATATGTGCAGTAAACAGGTGGATTTTTCAGATCCAAAATCCAATATGTATGTTTTTGTTGCTTTTTATCAGTAAACAATTTCTCATAACAGTAACATTTATAATAAAATCATTTTAAAATTGGTGGAAAATCGTTAAAAAATAACATTAACATGAATTTATTTGTATAGGCTGCTGATACAACAGGAAGTGGAACACTGTCTTTAGAAACATTTAAAGAGGTCATACGGAGTTCACTTGGTCTCAAAAAGGTATTGTACTGAAACTTTAGTATTCCTATTGTGTCTCTATGTTCTATGGTGTCAGAGTGGCCATTTTATTACTTAGTCTATTTTGTTGACAATGCTCAGACTGATACATATTTTGATATAGATGTTTAAATCTTTCATGAAGAACACTAATATTTTTCCCAAGGGTAGACTATACTATAATACTATTTTTCTATAGATTTTCACTGATTTTCACTGTATTATAGTACTGGTAATTAGTAGATTAATGCATGTGTTTAACTTAACCTACATTAGACTGGATGATGGGATATTTATGTAAATGACACACAATTAACATTTGTTGTTCTTTGTTTTCAGAGTGATGAACAGATTACTGCATTGTTTATGAAAATAGATTCACTTTCAGAAGGTAGAATAGCTTGGGTAAGTCATGCTTCCTAATGAGTGTGAAGTTACCAGCAGATTCACATTCCAGCAATAAAATTGAATAATTAACAAAATTAAATAATTACCCATGATTCAATAGTTATTAATCAATTGTCATCATTGATTGTAAGTCTGAATCTCTTGTTCTCAAATGACTATATATATCAAAGTTTTAGATCTATAACAGATATAAGTGAACAAACCTATTCATGGAGAGCATGTGTCTATAGGGAGGTACACATGTCTATTGGTAGTACATTGAGAATTAAGCTCCCAGGAGTGGATCAAGAGTGCTTATATGCATTGGGGAGCATATGTAAAAGGCAATTGCTATAATTTAAATTAATTTAAGTTTTGTCTCTCTCACTAGGATGAATTCTGTACGTACATGCAGTTGGAATATGCCGAAAAAGAAGACTCTTATCTACGACAGAAACAAGTGTCTTTTCAACTTCCAGCAACTATTGAAAGCACACCACATAGAGAAACCATACTTAGAATAAATAACATGTCAGATGGTATATTTGTAGCTGTTAGTCAGGTAAGTACATTGCCCATTACAATGTTGTGGGTATATAAATCATCCTATTGAAGAGTAACCAAAATGTACAATTTTACAAATTATCAAAGTATTAGGAAAAATGTATAAGATTTTGAGATCAAATCAATTTAAATCAAATAAATCTTAGCCTTAAAAGTTCTCCATATTTAGTCAGAATGTCTAATTAAAACTTGTATTCTTACGAAATCAAAACTTTTTACAAAAAACAAAGTTTCAGAAAACATGCCCAGTGAGGGCAGAATGTGATATTTACTGATGCATGTGTTATTTCCCATTCTATAGGATGGCACAATATCATTTTGGAATAGCCAATTAGAACTGAAGAGGACACGAACTCTTATGGTAATTATGAAATCATTTTGATATCTTGTACTTCCAACCTTAAACAAATAATGACGTATAATTGTTCCCATTTCAATCATGCATATCATTTGTACAGTTTATTTATATTTCACCTTCATGCAGTTATCTGTCAGGGAATGTTTGCATATTTCTCCAAGTCAAGTCATAAAATCAGGTGACCCACCTATTAAATCAGGTGACCCACCTATTAAATCAGGTGACCCACCTATTGAATCAGGTGACCCACCTATTAAATCAGGTGACCCACCTATTGAATCAGGTGACCCGCCTATTGAATCAGGTGACCCGCCTATTGAATCAGGTGACCCGCCTATTGAATCAGGTGACCCGCCTATTGAATCAGGTGACCCGCCTATTGAATCAGGTGACCCACTTATTTGGTTTGGGGACGATTAGTATTGTACATTAATACACAAACTTGTTTCTATGGAAAATACAACAGTTTCCTCATGTCACAGGCTCTGGTGGCCATTTTGAAACAAAATTGGTCACAATATATACTAGTATACAGATGAGGTTCATAGTGTAATAATGCTAATAATGTTATGATTTTCAAAAAACCCTTCACAGAGATTAACTTGTTAAAAGTGTGTTAGCCATATTATCAAAATGCAATATACTCAAATCTTAGTATTTCTCTAGGCAGAGCAGAATGTGACACGACAGAAACCCAAATGGATAACAGACATGGTCCTAATGCAGCAATATAATAAAATCATTCTGGGAACAGGGTAAGTTTATTTATAACATTCTTGGAACAGGGTAAAAGTTTTTTAAGATCATTCTGAAAATTAATGAAATAATTCTTGGAACAGGGTAATTAGTTAAAAAAAATGCACAAATATAAGGATACACCTATATAATGAAAAAGGTATATATTTAGTATCATAAATTTATGTACATGCATAACACAAACTGCCATGCGATTATAATTTGCTTTTTCAATCTTTATTTCTATATTTAAATTTTTATTGTATTAGCTAAAATGATATGAAATAAATTAGCATATGATTGGATATTACATTGTGATTCACATGATACTTGCGTTACCAGTAGAACAGGTCCAAGGATCCGTGTGCCATGCCAATCTATACACAGAATGACATCAATGATTGAGTGTTCCATATGTCTGATTTGTTTGAATACATCAACCATTACAGTTGGGAATGTGAGCTAATTGATTCATTACAAGTGATGACTTAATTGCTCAATAACTTGTGGCATAGCAACCACTCATAGTACCTTGGCATTCAATTGTCTGTGTGTCTAGGGATGTGTGATAACACTTAAAAACTACCATTTTTAATTGTTTGACAGTGTCTGAATGGTCAGTATCAAAGCTTAATGTGGTTACTCTTAATAATGAAAAATCATCTGTTTCAGTGACCGCGAAATTCAGTTTTATGAATCTTCTACCTTTGAGCCATATTGTCAGGTGAGCGGATTGGAAACAGTGCCGCTGAAGTTAGCTTACAAGTAAGTCTGAACTATCAAACTATTGAACAATCAGTAAATCAAATTTAAATGTATCCATTGTTGACGCTGTCCAATTATACAAGCATCCAAGTTATATCTGGCTAAAAATGTTTGTTATTCAGTTGGTGATGACTTGTCTTATGTTTGTCTTACAGTCCTACTGGCTATGACGAATGTCTAATAATGTATGGTGATGTTGATGGCTGTATAAATATAATTGTAGTTTATGCCACTGGTGAAACACTAAGGTTTGTATTGTATTAGTAAGACATTAATGAAAAACACTAATTCACCATGATAATTTTTTTTTAAATAAACAATCATGAAATGGATTTTTTAAAGTCACTTCAAAATTGTATTTTACAAACCTTATAAAAACGCTTCTTACTCAGCTCAGTTGGGTAAATAAGTACATCAAAGCTCTTTATGTACAGTTAAAACATGAATTACCTGAGATGATCGTGTAATTCTATTTACCTTGTCTGTAATGTTGAAGTGTCACAGTTAGTCTACTACATTGTGTTTGATATGTGGTCCCATTGACTTTATGATAATGAAGGTATTGGGGAGATCATTTCTTGTAGGTACAATAACCTGTTTATGGGTGTAACAACCTGTTTGTGGGTGCAATAACTTGTTTATGGGTGTAACAACCTGTTTGTGGGTGCAATAACTTGTTTATGGGTGTAACAACCTGTTTGTGGGTGCAATAACTTGTTTATGGGTGTAACAACCTGTTTGTGGGTGCAATAACTTGTTTATGGGTGTAACAACCTGTTTGTGGGTGCAATAACTTGTTTATGAGTACAATAACTTGTTTATGGGTGCAACTACCTGTTTGTGGGTGCAATAACTTGTTTATGGGTAGAATAACTTGTTTGTGGGTGCAATAACTTGTTTATGGGTACAATAACTTGTTTATGGGTGTAACAACCTGTTTGTGGGTGCCATAACTTGTTTATGGGTACAATAACTTGTTTATGGGTGCAACTACCTGTTTGTGGGTGCAATAACTTGTTTATGGGTACAATAACTTGTTTATGGGTGCAACGACCTGTTTGTGGGTGCAATAATTTGTTCATTGGTACAATAACTTGTTTGTGGGTAGAATAACTTGTTTGTGGGTGCAGTAACTTGTTTAATGGTACAATAACTTGTTTATGGGTGTAACAACCTGTTTGTGGGTGCAACAACCTGTTTGTGGATAGAATAACTTGTTTGTGGGTGCAATAACTTGTTTATGGGTACAATAACTTGTTTATGGGTGCAACAACTTGTCTGTGGGTACAATAACTTTTTTATGAGTACAATAACTTGTTTATGGGTACAATAACTTGTTTATGGGTACAATAACTTGTTTATGGGTGCAACAATCTGTTTGTGGGTACAATAACTTGTTTGTGGGTGCAACAACCTGTTTGTGGGTACAATAACTTGTTTATGGGTGGAATAACTTGTTTGTGGGTGCAATAGTCGTGTTTAGGTAGAACAACTTGTGTGTGTGTGGGTGGGTGCAATAGCTTGTTTGTGTGTGCTACAGCCTGTTTGTGGGTGCAATAACTTGTTTGTGGGTGCAATAACTTGTTTGTGGGTACAATAACTTGTGTATGGGCGCAACAACCTGTTTGTGGGTGCAATAACTTGTTTATGGGTACAATAACTTGTTTATGAATACAATAACTTGTTTATGGGTGTAACAACCTGTTTGTGGGTGCAACAACTTGTTTATGGTACAATAACTTGTTTATGGGTGCAACAACCTATTTGTGGGTACAATAACTTGTTTATGGGTGCAACAACCTGTTTGTGGGTACAATAACTTGTTTATGGGTGCAACAACCTGTTTGTGGGTGCAATAACTTGTTTATGGGTGCAATAACTTGTTTATGGGTACAATAACTTGTTTATGGATACAATAATCTGTTTATGAATACAATAACTTGTTTATGGGTGTAACAACCTGTTTGTGGGTGCAACAACTTGTTTATGGTACAATAACTTGTTTATGGGTGCAACAACCTATTTGTGGGTACAATAACTTGTTTATGGGTGCAACAACCTGTTTGTGGGTGCAATAACTTGTTTATGGGTGCAATAACTTGTTTACGGGTACAATAACTTGTTTATGAATACAATAACTTCTTTATGGGTGTAACAA